TTCGTCTGAAAATGGTGACATGTAATGTCATGACTTTGTCTCAGCGCTATGTGTCTGCGCATGCAGCAGCACTGGGATTCCTTGATCAATGTCATGACAAGCACATGGCGGTGGTGGCCCTGCAGGAGACCAGACTCAAACGTCTTCGTCTTGGACACCCGGAGTATGTCACGGTGGCGCACCCTAGTCACAAGGGACATGGTGGAGTGCTTCTTGCCCTTCACCGCAGACTATTTCGTGTCCAAGGAGCAGAAGAAGTGAAGGAGGCATTGGCAGAGAAACACATCTCGGTAGTGGCTAGTGACCATGAATTGCTCATTGCACGAGTGTGGTATGGCTCTTTGGACATTCTGGTGACGGTGGCTCATGCACCCCATACTGGAAGGCCACAAGCTGAGGTTGAAGCCTTTTGGACATCCCTTCGATCAGTTCTTCCTCCGTACTTACAAGCCAAGGACATGTTGGTTCTGGTGGATGCCAATGCACGAGTTGGCTCTCGTATCTCCAATGCAATTCAAGGGCATCATGCGGAGGAGGAGAATGGCAATGGGGCATGTTTTCATGAGTTCCTTATTGCGTCACACCTGTGGGTGCCGTCAACTTTTAGTTCCTTCCACATGGGCCCGGGGCACACTTGGACCCATGCTGCAGGTAATCAGAGCAGGATAGACTATATCGCGGTGCCTTCACGGTGGCAGTTTACCTCCATGTGCTCATGGACGGATTTTCAGTTGCAAGCGCACGGGCATCTCCATGACCATCATGCAGTATGTCTTGAATTTCGGTGTCATCTACCAGGCAGTGAAGCTTGTTTGACGGTGAAACGTCCAGCACCTCTGCAGCCACTGGGCCCTGGTTTGGAAGCTTGTACACAAATGGAATGGGCCACTCACTACATGCCACCCATCGATTGGGCATTGGATGTCCATCAACATGCTCATGAGCTGACACGGCGGTTTTCGGATGGGGTTCACTGGGTTGTCCCTAGGAGGCAGCCCTTTCACCGCAAGCCACACTTCTCCACGGAGACCAAGGCGGTGATTGAGTATAAAGCTGAACTGCGAGGCCATCTTCTCCATCTTCAATATGGTCGACGACTTCTTGGGCTCCGGTCCTTCTTCCTGGCCTGGCAGGGACAATGTCAGCAATGCCATCACCATTGGGATCTCCAGTTCATTGCTCAGGAAGAGAAGTACTGGGCCAAGCAGTGGGCATCATTGTACCTTGTTTTCAAACGTGTGCGCAACCAAGCTGCTGCGCTCCAACGACAAGATACTCGGGCCTTTTTTGATGGACTGGCAGAAGAATGGACCGCTTGTGACCAACCTACTAAGGTCAAGGAACTTTGGTTGCTGGTGAAGCGGCATCTGCCCAAGAACCGAGCCCGTCAGCAAGCACGGCCAGCGGTGCAACATGAGTCCCTACATGATCAGTGGCACCCTCATTTGGAGCAACTTGAAGCTGGAGCTCATGACCGTTTGGAGAACCTCTATCAAGAGCTGCTCCTGGAGGACAACCAGTTCACCTCCCACAGGACGATGTGCAAGTTGGAAGAAATTCCTACCTTAGTGCAAGTTGAGAACTCTCTTCGTAGCACCCGTCCTGGGAAGGCCTCTGGGCCTGATGGATTGCCGTCAGAATGGATTCATGCTGGAGCAGGATCTTTGGCACCGTGGGTCTTCGATCTGGTTTTGAAGATGTTTTGGACGGCAAAGGAGCCCATACAGTGGAAAGGTGGTATCCTTCACATGCTGCCAAAGGTTCCTATGCCAGTATCGGCGGCTGTACCGGGGCATCATGCTGTTGGGAGTCTTGGTCCGCCGAGTTCATGTACTTTTACGACCCCATGTTATGGATTGGGCAGCTCGAGATCGACCTCCTGGTCAATTGGGAGGTTTTGCCCACCAAGAGTGCGCATTTGGCAGCCTGTATGTGCAAACCTTCTTGAGGCGAGCCTATCACCACGGAGCGCCAGCTGCAGTCATTTTTGTTGACCTGAGGGCAGCTTTCCACTCGGTTGTGAGAGAGCTGGTTTTGGGTTCGGCGCTGGGAGATGCTAAAGATCGAGACATACTCCAGGCCGCTTTGACCCAAGAGGGCTTTGAACAGGATGTCATTCAGAAGCTCCTGCATGCTCCCGGCATTCTGCCGGATGGTATGACAACCCAGCTGCTTCGTGAACTACATAGTCGTACTTGGGCCACCTTGAATGGGGAGGCGGTGCGTACTACGAGAGGCACACGACCTGGGAGTCCTCTTGCTGATGCTATGTTCCATTGCCTCATGGGGCCTGTGGTGACGGAGTTGGAACAGATCATCGAAGCTCGGCCACAACAGCAGCACATGCGGCAAACCTGTGGTACTCGTGCTACGCAGATAGTATGGGCGGATGACCTCGCGGTGCCTGTGCTGGCATCTTCCAACGAGAATCTCTTGGTGGAGATTGGGCACATCTTTCTCGCTGTGGAGCAGGCTTTTGAGAAGAGAGGAATGACCTTAAACATGTCCAAAGGGAAGAGTGAAGCCCTACTGACTCCAGCTGGAACTGGTGCCAAACAGATGAGAGAGAATCTTCGTCTACAACCACGCTTGGAACTGGACACTCTCCATCTTGGGCCTGGCAAACGAGCTTTGATGTTGGGTGCGCAATACAAGCACTTGGGCGCAACTCTCTCAGCAGGAGGTTTGATGGGGCAAGAAATTCATCGACGGGTGGGTCAGGCCTGGACGGCCTTTCGCTCCATGTCTCGACAGATCTTCACCAACTCATCCCTGAAGGAAGGCACACGCCTGTTCTTGCTGGAAGCCTTGGTCTTCACCAAGCTCTACTATGGTTGTGGATCTTGGCCATTGCTGAGGGCTCAGGACATGCGACGACTGCAAGTGTGTCAGAGCAACATGCTCCGTCGAACACTCAAAGAGAACAAGTATGATGGCAATCATGTGCTCACCGACGTTGAGATCTTGATGAAGGCTCAATGTGTTCCGGTCAGGGTGCGGCTGGCGCAGCATAGGCTACTCCTGGCCGCTCGTTTGGCACGGCATGGGCCATCCTTTGTCTTGGAGGAACTTCAATCTGAGACTGAGGAGCTTTCCGATGGTTGGCGTGCTGGCCTTGATGAGGATTTGAAATGGTTAGCGTCAGCCATGGATTTGAGCACCTGGGGCACTACTTTTAGTGAACTACAGTCTCATTGGACCCGGGGACGGCCGGGTTGGAAACGCATTGTGAAGCAGGCTGGACAGAAACATGTCTTGCTACTTCCTCGACTTTGTGGACGCGCATGTGTTCGAGGGGGAGAAGAGGACACTCTTTTAGATCTCCTTCACCAGGCGCAGCTGAGATGTGAATGTGGAATGGTTTTTCGGAACCATCGGGCCTTGCGCTTGCACCGCATTCAGAAGCATGAATGGCGCAATGCTGAACATGGGCGCATCCACGGGGCAACATGCCCCGTCTGCTTACGCCACTATTGGACGGCCAACAGGTTGCAATTGCACTTACGCTATGTGTCGCGGCAGGGCCGGTCCAACCGCTGTGGTGCTTGGGTTCGACTATATGGTTGGTTTGAGAGCCAACGTACGGACCTCCCGGCAGACAACTTCGTGGCTCTTCCTGGTGCTACGCGGAGAGACGCAATAGCATTGGTAGGACCACGTGTTTTGGGTGCCGATGAGAAGGACTTACAGTATGTGGAGCAGGAGTTCTGTCAGCTCAGGCAGGATCTATTGCTTGAGGGGGTCTCCTTTGCGGTTGACAGCGATTGCAAGGAAGCTCTTTTTCAGACCTTTGCTCGTCAATGCTCTGAGCGCCTCTCTTTGCAGGACATGCAGCACTTGTGGGCCGACTTTCCTACGGGAGAATGGTTGGGCAGCATGATCTACAGGGAGAGGACTTGGAGTGGTGGCGCCACACGCTCGAAGGGTGGACCAATGGGTTGCAGCTTCTACAGGCACATGATCTAGCGGTACACGTTCACCGCCTTCATGAATTACAAGCCAATGTTTCTGAGCGGGCACCTTATTTTGGTCCTACCACAGCAGTGGACCCCATGCATTCAGGGCACCTCCTACCGCTACCGGAAGTGTGGCGTGATGGAGTCCCGGTAGCTGTTCACCGACTGACACTCCGTGCTTTAAGCACGTGGCAGTGAGGTCGTGGCAGCTCGAATTGAGCATTTGTCTGCGGACTGCTCTACGCCATAGGCCTGAGCCTACAAACGGTCGCGAAATGAAATGAAAAATACGCCGAAGGTCGATGATTCACCTCTTTTATGAAGGCCGCTGTTGGAAGGCGCAGAGGATAAGGACCAAACTACAAAATGCCTAACCTAGGGTGAATCGCCGGCTTCCTGGGCGGGGCCGGCCTGGGAGCCGCCGACCTCCAAGTCTTCCAATTCCAGGAGTCGGGGTTTGGGACCTAAGAAGCACTCTGAGCACATGCTACCAAACCAATTCATCCGAATCCAATGGAGTCATGAAGCCAGTCAACCCAGTCAATAGGGGGTCACTGGTTGTGTCTTCACTTCAAGGGAATAGTTGGTGATGTTGAAGTGCACCTCAGGCACTTCAAGTGACCAAGATCTTAGGTGGATCATGACCTACCCAGGCTATACCCAGGTAATAGGTCACCTGCAGGTGGATCGCCATTTTTGGGGAGAAAGTGGTGGCACCCCACTCCCAACAGAGGTGGAAAGCTCCAGTTTGGGGTTCCCCCATTGACCAGACCGGAGCCTTGATCTTTGAGATAGATGTCCTTCGATCGAATTTCGACCCTTCAAGCGTTTGATTCGCTTCGACCGTTCCGTGGTTCCTAGGTCTCCAAATGGTTCAAGGTCTCATTGATTTTGTTATGGCAGGGAATTGGTTGTTTCTGTAGTTGTTCTACTTCCTTTCAACTACTCCAAACAATTTGTTGTTCATCTCTGGTGAATCACATGGGGTTCTCAAGCCACTAAGAGACTAGGAAGGCATCGAGCGCACATGAGCGCACTCCACAGGAGATGCCCTTCTTCTCTGCTCAGGATTGGGGGATGGTGGTGTATGGACGCTGGTGGCTGGTAGAACCTTTGCATGATACAGACTCCTTTTCTAGGCTGAAATCGGAATGACCTGAAAAGAGCTGGTGGGCTTCCTTGATGTTTTTAACTACTTTTCTTGAGTCTGCATGCTCGTTGAAAGGTCCACCCGTTTGAATCGATGCGCGCCTGACACCTCAATGCCCGAAGACTCGTAGCCACCCGCAAGGGGATTTCGGAGCTGTTTGGACTGCGAATGAACAGGTGAAGTGTATACCACCCGTAGAAGTTTAGACACCAATCCACAAGAGAGGCTTATCTTTGTTTACTTCCAGATTGGCTTCATTCTTTAGACCACCTCAAATTGGCTTTTGAACATAAATCTATCGACTGCTAGCTTGCGGCCGGCTTCCGGGCCCGCTTCTTTTCGACTCTGCAAGACTCGAAGTGCAGCTGTAGTAGCAGGACCTCTACGAGAATAAGATCTTGTCCTCCCACTATGGGGTGAAGGTCCGAAGCCAGGCGCGTGAACTTCCCGCGGGTTTGACCAGCGGAAACGCCAGCCCGAGCTGAGCGGCCGAAAGCTGAGCGGCGCTTAGCAGGTCCGGGTGGAAGCCGTTGTGGTTTCCATTGTGCATCATAGTGTGTCATATACAAGTCATCAAGTTTGTTGTTGGACCCCATGGCTAAATTCTCATATCTGCCTGTTGGTTTGGGGGCCTCAACATGTCTCAAACACGAGCAAGTCAGTTGCCTTCGGCAAATCAGTATCTGGATGGAACCTCCTTTCAGACCCTGCCAGAGCTTTGCGGAGGTCCATTCAGTCGAGCAATTACCCAATCCAGGCCATTTTTAGACTAGACAGCGGCCGTGGGCGCCGCCGTTGGCGTTCACGGATGATCGGATGATCGGAGCCGGTTGCGACCACGTTCTTTCGAGCATTTGACCTTACTCCTTCAGACCTTCAGCAGAAACAAAGCTTTTTGACCTTCAGACAGCCGGTTGCAGCAAGCCGGTAGCCTTTTGAATAGAATGTGTTTGTTCAATTGTCCAACAGCCTTTTTGTGGGAGAACATGGAGAACCACACCTGTCAAACAGTTCATGATCATGTTGATTGAACGGGGGAAGCCTCAACTTGACCCATCTTTGGTTTTCCACTTTGGTTCCAAGACCTCCTAGCACTGACGGGTTCGACTCCATTCCACCTTCGGGGCACCTCCGCACCTGGTGGAAAGAACTCACACCTCCACCCTGTGTGCCATAAAACATCAAACATCCAGGTCATGAATGTTGAAGAAAGCACTCAGCATGTGACGAATGGGAACCATATAACATAGTATCTAACCGTCTAACCTTCCCTAGGGATGCAAGTAGTCGTACCGAACCTCAGGTACGGTTTCGGAAGGAGACCGTGAAATATATGCCGGTGCCAGTGGATCCAACGTGCCATGATCCAGGAGCATCGAAGGGGGTCGGTGGCCAATCCATCCAACATACCCGACGTCCTCCGGTGTGGCCTTGGTGGCGTTGGGCCGGTACCCGGGGCCCGGAATCGATGGGATCATTGTTGGGAGGCTCGCAAGGAGGCGGCGCAGAAAGAGGGGAAGGAGGTGAAGGAGGAGAAGGTGGTGCGGCGGGGATCTCAGATTTGGGGGGTTTTGTTAGGAGCAGAAACACACACAAAGCCAGGTAGGCGTTCCAATTGTTTTTGCATTTGATGTGGGTATGCTTGCCAGAAGGTGAATTTGGAAACCTGTCGTTTGAGTTGTTTTGTCACGACTGTGTGCTATACTATACAGTATAGGTATTGCAAAATAGTTAGATACATCATGATACATCGTGGGTCTGGTCGTGCAGGAGATCTCCCTTCAGCCTTAAATACCTCACCAAGGGTTTTGGGTGTAGGCCGCAAGCGTTGTGTAAGTCCATCCCACTACCCAGATCTACGCAGAGTGAATTTGTGGATGATCCTTTATCGTGGATGATCCTTTATTAAAGGCTCGTGCAGGATTTGTGATGGTTTGTCCTTCTGCAGTAGCTTGTAATCAATCCTACTTGCCACAAGTTATACACATCAGCAAATGTTCTTTGTGGCTCAAGACTGGGGGTGCTTGTCAACTCCCTTAATAAGTAGAACGAATCACCTTTTCCATCTTCAAGGACCCAACTCTGCAATTCCAAAAGGTTCGACCTGGTTCGACCTGGGCCCTTCCCAACCCTCAACTAGGACCTGACACTAACTAGTACAGTGGTTTTTCAAGCTTCTCTTTGTCAACTGTTAAGCAAGAGAGCTTGGGCCCTTCCTCTTCGCCTCAGCAGCGTGGTGGTTCCAGTGGTTATACAGGGTGGTTTGAAACGAAGGGCATGGGTATTGAAACAATGACAAGGGCAAGGTATTGTCCCTCTCCATTTAATGCAAACAGTCTTGAGATCCAAAAGGATAAAACATGAGCACACATATGACGGGACATGTAAGAGCACGCGTATGAGAGCACACACCTCATGGGAGCACATACAAAAGAGTGCGCAATTGCTGGATGAAACCTGCCCTTCAAGGTCCACAGAATACTGTCCTTGCCACGAGATCTGAGCATCAAGATTCACATCGCGCAGCCCTGCCAAGGAGTTTCGCAGCCACTGCACTTCCAAAGACAACATCAAGATGCTAAAACGCAGCTTTCGCTCGAGTCTTCCTCCATGCTTAAAGGTGACGCTTCACTGCAAGGGCCTCTCGTTTTGGTGGTCCAAAGCGATGCGCTTGCCACGACAATTCGACTTTGGACCACCAAAGCACGAGGTTTCCCTTGGGCCTCCCACGAAACGCCAAGTCCGAAAATGTGCACGGCACCACAACGAGAGCGCAGTCAAGAAGAGCACCTGCGCAGCCCGCAAATTTAAGCGAGCCTGCTCAGTCGAAATGCATTTTGAATATCTCGAGGTGGATGAATTCACTACAAATAGCAGCGGTTTATCCGCGCACAGACGCATGAACCTCCGATCAGACGCCTGGCCTTAACCCTTTCCGTAAGAACCCCGGCCCAGTGTGGCCACATTGTTTGGAAACAAGTGAAGTCAAAAACAAGCCCTGCAAGTCGAAGACCTCAATGTATTGAAAGACAGGCCCGGCGACATAAGATATTTAAGGATGTACAAGACCCAGTCTTACTGGGTCAGACTGGAATTGCAGTGAATTAGATCAAAAACACCGTAGGAAGGCCACGTCTCTTGGAACGCCCTTCCCAACCTGCTTCGCCAGGTCCAAGACCCACAGGAGGCCGGCGCTGCAAGACCCAACGGCCCACGGCCAAACCAGCCGTTTCGGTGGCTTTACGGCGGATCGCGGAAGCAATGTGACCCAAGGAATTGTTTTGATGGATTTGGGATGTGTTTTGTTGTTTAAGTTCTTGCCAAGAGACTGGTTGTTTTTGATGTGAGTTCCACCACTAAAGAGTGACCAAGAAATGTTCACAGATGGGGTGTGTGGCTAGCTACCAGCGAACTTTGTTGGCGACGGATGTTTCACGGGTCCAACTGCCACATATGTGTCAGGCGGAGTTAATTCCTACAATCCATATAATATATAAAATATATTATATATATATGTATAGTACTCCTGTAAACAACCGATAGATAGTACCTCTTTGATAGCCCCCGCTAGAATCCAAGTTGCAACAGAGCCTGAGAGCCGTCTCCGTCACACACCTTGATAGTTCTAATGACAAGTTCTGGCGAAATGCCATCAGTCCCCTTCCAACGCACAGACATGGATGGTTCTATCTACTGTCCCTAGGGCTCCAACCACATCCTCAGAAGGTGGTTAGACCTCCCAAACCCACCCCAACCATCTTCTCAGGAGGTGGTTGGAGCCCTAGGGTGTATAGGTAAAAAGTGGCTGAGAGTGGAAAGGCTGTCCTGACCACATTGTCCCTTTCAGCCAAGCAAGTGCTGAATCAGGATTCCTTTTCCATTGGCCTTTTACTGTCCGTGGGAACTCTCTTTTCCTTCGGGAATCGAGACTCACTTTGTCATTGGATTCGTTTTCTTCCCAGGGCGATGGTTTCAGTGAAAATCCGTCAGAACACCCACAGTGGATTCGGGGGTGAAGGCCTAAGGTTTTCTTGATGTTTCCTGTATAGATGTTCCATGACTTTCCCTTAAACCAAATATTGAATATGGATCGATCGCTGGAGAATCTTCCCCAATGGCCACTCAATCTTCCGGCAAATGTCATGGTTTTTTCGTTTTGCAGGCCCCAGCAAGCTAGCTTGATGCTGAAGATTCACAGCAGAACTCACTTCAAACCAACTTGTCAAAGTGTACATATATCATATAATATCATATACATATAAACATAAGCTCATGCGTTGAATCCACTTTGAGGTGAACATGTGACAACCTTGCGGCTGGAGTGGGTAGCTTGGGCCATATAAGGGTACGGTAGTTGAGTTTCTTTCTTTCACACACGCAAAAAAACCACCCTCTTAGAATCAACTGGACATCCCAGCACTCGGCAACACCATGAAACAGGTCCTCTCAGGACCTTCACACCGTCCAGGGTGGTCCATGGTACCTCCTTTTCGCCTTGGGTGGTCCTGGACCCTTCGGGACCGCACGGTGTTCGGTCCCCGAAGGGTCGGTCGAGCGGAAGGGGTCGGAGGGAGGGAGAGGTTCCCGGTGTTTTCGAAGACATGACATGACTCCCGGATTGGTGATTTTTTTTTTTATGTTCGGTCCTTTTTGGGGGGGAATGGCCCTATTCTAAGACACAACCCCACATGGCTGAACAGATTCACCATTAACCTCAATGTTCCTCGGAAGAACCCAGTTGAGGTGGGGACCCCCAGGCAGGCTGCCTGACCAGGCCCTCCACGAACCCCACCTTGCTCTCAGTGAAAAGCATGGCGACCAGGCAGGCCTTGGGGGGGCGGGATGTCCCTGGACGTCCCCATCACGCGCGAGGGCAGGTGGTGCCTCAAAACGATGTATAGTTTTGTTGACAAAGCTGGAATGGAACTGTTTGGTAGCGTCTATTAATTGATTGCAAGGACCCTCTAGACTCTATAGTACTCTATAGTCTTCACCTCAGCTTGAAGTCTTGAACGAGCACGTCTTGGGGTCTTTCAGCTTGAGCCTGATCATGTAACCATGTTTTTTTTCTGCGTCATCCCCAATGTTCCGCCAAAACCGCTGCAGCTATAGCAACATGTTCTGTGTTCATTTTGTTCCGGGTTAATACCCCACTGTGTGGCTAAAGTACCTGCCTACCTGAGTGGCCCTTTTCAACCCAAGATGTTCCATTCAAGCAAGAACCACTACCTATAGACCACGGTGTTCTATCCTGCTGTGGACCTACTTTGGAGCTGTTTGTGGTCAGAGACCACTAGCTGAATTGTCATTTGTTGATTGAAGTTGATGGGAATTTTGGCGCACCCTTGCTCACCCTTTTGACTAAACTGGACTCTGGTGCTTTCAATGTGTTCGATGTATAATCATGAGAGTTGTCCTTTTTGTTCATGTCAATTGTCTTTTTGGGCGGTCAACTTCTCTCTCAACACTAATTTTGACAGGTGGATAGCCCTTGCTTGATGTAGGAGGTGTTTGGGGATGCCAATGGTTACAGGTACCACTAAGTGAGTTTCACCTTAGATGTAAAGCAAGTGGATGCAAGCGGCTTGCACTTGCATAGGTCTATGTAGGAGGTGCATTGCCTTTGCACTTGCGCCTCCTGAGCAGTTGCATGTGTTTTGGAAGTCAAGCTTGATGTTTTAATCTTTAGGGACACTTGGCGATGAGATACACAGGCCGCAAAGAATTACAGGACAGCCTGTAATTGGATTTTACAGGATGCCTGTACGTGATGCTTGGCATGGAGCCATATGATGCAACAAAATGCTATATCAACATCAATTTGTCATTTGTAGGGCCAGGCCCGTTTGAAGTGGTGTCCGTTGATAGCAGAGATGTCCGCAAAGTGCTTGCTACATTGCTCTGTGACAAATGGAGTGGAGCACCACATCCAGCATGGGAAGACGGCCAGCAGGACACGTAGCACGCCCAACACAGGACAGTGCCTGCCTGACGAGTACAATCCTGCCATCCCTGACATCATCAACCTAGTGGCGTACTCCTCATCGGCAGACATCACTGTGTCGATTGGCAGAAAAACAACAACGTGGTCTTGAAAAAACAAATTTGGAAGAAGACACTTCCCGAGCGCCTCCGAGCGCAACTGGGTATATGGCTGTGCACCGGAACCAGGTGCGGGTTGACATCAGGGAAGCAAAATTCAACTCCTCTGTTGGACATGTTGGAGAGGTCTTGCTGCCACATGAACACCGAGGGGATGTTCTGTAGATCAACAGTTCAAGCCCATGGATTTCCCGCAAAGTATGTGATTAGATGATCTTTTGAGCATTTTCGAGCCTTTTCCTTCATAAAGTTACGCGAAACAATAGCTGAGACTGAAACTTGCAAACTTGCAAATCAGACCCTCGACCCAAGAATTTGCCCCTCCGGCAGGGGCGTTTTTCATTCCAGGTACCAAAATAAGGCACCCAACCCTCACCTGGCAGGTGGGGAAAAAGGGTCATTTTCATGGGGCCAAAGATGCGTTTGTTTGCGTGACAATTTCCGGTCCGGAATGGTTTCAGTCCAAAACCAGGACCAAGAGTCTCCATCTTTCGGACCTTTCTTTACATACCCAGACGCTCATGGACCCTCCTAAGTGGCGGCCGGACCCTCAAATCCCTAGGGTTTTGAGGGACCAGGAGCTGTTTGGAGCGTCAGGGTACAACATTCATGATCCTATCACTGATCACTGATCGTATGGATCGATTTTCCAAGGAATATCTACATCCCTAAAATAATCCTAACGGGCCCTCCTATGACAGGGGTCGGACCCGACACCTTCGCAGGGGTCCGGACCCTCACAACGTAGTTGAGGGCCTGGATTGTTAGGGACGCAAACCACGGTTCTCACCCGCAAGTTACTACTGTAACTGTTTCCTGCAAATGTTCCCTTAAACCACTTCTGAGACAGTAACTCCTCCAGTTACGTGGATGGTTTGGGACTGGTGACTCACCTTCCGCCTACCTTCCGGAGGCTTCAGGATTCACAGAATGCCATCCCAGAGACCAAGGAGACCAGGGAGTTCCTTTACATGCTCCGCAGGCGCGCGCGGCACGCCAGGGCCGAAGATCCTCCGGTGGACCGGGTCGAGCCAAGTGGTTTTGAGGGAGTGGTTGGGGTGTTTGGGGAGCGTTGAGTGTGTTTGTTCAATGTCTTTGGTTCTTTTCCGGTTTGGTTCACATGAGGCCACGTGGACCAGTGGTTGCCAGTGGCTTTCTTTCGCTTGGATCCATGCACAGTCCAACCAATGCTTGGAGATTTGTCACATTCCATTTTGTTTTTTTTTCCAAGGAGGTGGCAGTGGAAACTAACGTAACATGACTTTGAACACCGGATATCCCACTAGAGATGGATCCATAAGAACTGCCCCTTTGACGAACGGTTCCCCAACGAGAACCGTTTTTCGTGGCATCAATCCATCATATCATATCTCTATCTCTGGCCACACTGTAGTCAGGAACGAGGGGCATATAAATATCTTGTAGTTCTAGGCTCTAGGTTTAGGTTTGCGAAGGTCTTGCAATATGTTCCATGATTGGGGGCAGGGCGCTACAAAAGGTCAAAGATGTTTGCTTATAGTTGTATAATAACAAAAAAACATATTAAATATAGTTGACAAACCTTTGCAACAAAACAATCACACACGATGATGTGTTTATTCCATGTAATTTGTCCAGCTGAGGAAGTGGGAACAACGGTTAACATAGTCATAGTCAACTTGATGTTGTCTAGCGAAGTTTGAAACCTTCTTTGTTGGATGTTCTTAGATGTTCGTAGTATGATACGTGGAAGGTCCGTCTTGGTGTATTCGTGCTTTTTCAAAGTTCCATGTCCTTCAGGGAGCAGGGCAACGAGATCTACGAGGGTCTCCGGAAGGCCTATTACCACACCAAGGATCCACCGTGGCGGGAAACGCTTCCCTCGTTTGGAACTTACGGGCCGAATGGGTCACATGTGATCTGGAACAGCATCGTAGCGGCTTGGCTGTCTCTATGTGTCCGACATGGGGCTTGGCTGGTCAATATTGGTCAATGTATGCTTGATGTTATTTGCTATACGTGCCGCTGACAACAAGACAAGGGACGAACCCATTGTAGGGGAACAAGCCCCACCATGACATGTTCTTCTGTTCTCCATCCAACAATCATGGAAGTGGAGAATGGAACCTTGAACAACTACATATAAATATATCAATCAATGTTATTCGTAGCAAAGGTCAACTTTTCTTTTTTGTTGGATGAAGGGGTTGCGTGGAGTTCGTCGCTCAGCACGTTGGTTCCCAAGCTTTTTTTTTTTGGGGGGGGGGGCGACCTGGCGTCGGTCTGTGCAGCATGATCATCCATGATCATCCATGATCTATCTACTCCAGCTGCAGAGCTGCAGCACTGTGGGCCTTTCAGCTGGAAACAGCAAAGCAGGAGACAATGATGATATGCTCTAGGATTTCTATTTGTTGTTTGACATAGGGCAGGTATGTTTGGTATCAATATCGGATTCCACCGATTCCACCTCATGAAGCTTGGTCGTTTGAAGGTGTCGGGGGCTGTGTTGAGGGTCGGGATAGAATGAAGCTTGAAACTCTTTTGCGAGCCTACAGGATGTGCTTCTTTGGGTTTTCGATCTAAAACATCTCAAGATTTCAGACGTTCCCCCAAGAATGGCTGAGATCACTTGCCGGGTGTTCCATAGAGAAGCGATGTTTACAACGTTTATTTGAGCAATGAATCGATTCTGAATCTCTTTTTCGCAGTTGATCAGGTATCAGGCTGCTGTGCCCTGGATTTCAGGCTGCCTGTCGACCCCAAAAATAGCCCGAACTGGAAAAACAATAAAAACGCTTTGCTTTGCACCACGAAGCGAAAACTCAAGAGCCGTCGCCTGATCTCCGCCGGACTTCCGTCCGCTGGACTTCGGAACCTTTGGCCTTAGAAGATATCCAACGGACAAAGTTAAACAAGCACAAACTCAGTCTCACGCGTCTCACTGACGATGTCTACTATCAGTTGTTTTTTTTTTTTTTAAATAACTTATTACATTATATATTAATAAAATCGATGTTTTATCGTAGATATGGTAGGCCGACAGTCATCACGGAGATCAGAAGGAGATCATTTGCAAAAGGCGATCGTTGCTTCATATCAGTGGACAGCTGACAGCTGTGGGGAGCACGGACATCGGTAGCCAATCACCGCAAAAGAACGGGGACATGGGCACTCGTGCCACAAAGCAACCACTGAACGTAATGACCAAGTTCTTCGCTTGAAGAAACAAGATGAGTGGCTTAGTCTGGGCTTATTGGTTTGCATTTTTATCAAATCACCCCTTGACGTCCTGATCTCCGATCTTCAGCGTTGGCAACCGGTAAGCCACCGGAAGAAAACCACGCCTCAACGACTCAGCGACTTGCCTCAGTGCCTCCAACGAAAGAAACTCAGCTGTACATGCCATGCAAAGCAGACGGTTTTGTAACAACTCTGTGAATTCCAGGAGTCACAAAGGGGTGCCCTGTCTGGAAGCCTCTAGGTAGTGTGGGGTACTTCATTGGACACCCCTTTGTGACTCCTGGTTGTTTTTCCCATCACCCCGACGCTCCGCCATGGAGCCAGAGGAAGGCCAGGCACAAACGCCGGCGCAAGCGGTGCAAGGCGCAGATCTGGGTGCCGTGTGAGCCATGTCCATGATCGATGTCGGGAGATGAAGTATGAGACCTTTCTTCCAGCAGAAAGGGGTGCGATCCATGGAGGTTAGGGGTGCCCATTATCCACTCACTTGAGGACTAAACACCACCCCTTTGTGACTCCTGGTTCCTTTTGTTTTGTTCTTTGTTTCTAGAAGAGATGGCCTCCAACCTACTGGCGGTGGCCTCCACCGCAATGGCCTCCACCCTAATAGAGATGGCCTCCAACCTAAGAGCGATCATGAAGGATGGGCATAGGCAAGAGGTACTCTAATGTGACGTAGGCTCAGTATGGGTCTAACCCACTTAAGGCAAGCCAGTTCAGGGGCCTTGTAGTACACCTTGAAAGTCTGTCACTGCTTCAAGGTTTTCTGATGACTTGCATCAATGAGGCAAACTTTAGCAGACCTTGGCATACAACAGAGGTATACTATACAATGTAGACTCTTGAATAGTAAAGCCTCTCCATGTGGATTGTAAAAGCCTCTTCAGCAAAAAGGTGTTTTTCTTATGGTAAAAGCCTCTTCAACAAACACAGTAACACATACAAAAGGTGTTAATAAACTGATCAAGAATCTACGTTATTAGAAGCTCTTAAAAGGGGTGATGATGTGGGGCCTCAGCAGTTAGGGGTTTTGGTCTTGGCCACTTTGCTGGACTCCGTGCCCCGGCGTGAAGAAGCCTCCCAGTTGGTTGGTCAAGGAGTCAGGAAAGCTTTGATCTCATGTGACTGGACACCAGGGAATACCAGGCAGGGTTTGAGAAACATGCAGCCAGATGCAGCCACACCTGGCAAATGAAGATCACCTTGGAACGAGGACCACAGGGCCCCAACGGGAGCTTGAAGTCATCAGGCGATCGAGGTTGGGGGGTTTATCACGTGGCCTGGTGGCCTGTTTCCGACAGAGCTTGTGGCTGGACAGGCAAGAAGACCAAAGAAATGGATTCGATTGCCTGTCGTTTCCGCGAGCAGTGTGATAGAAGTGAGCACAGTGAATCGGTCCCTTAAAGCCTTATCCTGCATTGAACCCTATAAGTTACTAGAGGAGTCTCAGCGATGTGACATGATGTGATAGCCATGGTTCTTCAAAGTGACCTTTTCATAGCCAGTTTAAGGTCACCAACGGGCCTGTAAAAGAGGTCACGTACTGAAGAAGCATGCAGTGGGAAGCGGGAAGTGCTTTGGCTTCACCGACCTTGCCCAAACCAGCTGATTGATAGTTCCGCCATCCGTATGGATTGCGCTCAGCCTTTGAGCTGTCGGCCTCTCCATCCCGACGCGTCGTGATCGCTGGATCGACTCTCGCCACGCGGAGCTCCGCGTCCGACTTCGGCACGGAGCTTGGAACGTGGATCGCCACGCGGATCGCGACGCGATACGCGTCGCCACGCGTCATGGCTCCGCCCCGACAGACTTCTTGGGCCCCTTCGCCTCGATCCTGGGCCGCTGGATCGACGCCAAGGGCGGAGCCTCTGACGATGACCAGTCGAACGCATCGAACGGCGGGGGAAGCGATGCGGGTGGACCATGCGGGATGACTGTTCTGGTTGGGAGGGCGGTTCCGGGCGGAGGGCGGAAGGATTTGGGGACGGTGGAGTAGTTATATCATTCTGAACGCATGGAGGGTGCCAGAAAGTCTGGGAACAAACATATTCCTGAAGGTTGATTTGGGGCAGTCAGTTTTGTCCAAAAAGAGTTGGAGCAAAACAATACTTATAACTTATAATCCATCTTAATCCTATGTTGAAAGCTAGATACTTCTTAGCAGACGTATCACATAATATCAAATAATATAAATCTCAAATTAGACTTGCACTCACTTTTTGCAAGACTTATATGTAATATCGAGAGCTTGATGCAAGAGGATGTGGGGCCAATGTCTGCCATTTTATTCAAGTTGCACTTCAAGTTGCAACAACAATCCGAAGCCACCTTGGCATTCAGCCGGGTCCTGAAGATGACTGTTGGTTTCTGAGATTGTCTGAGATGACTGCTGGTCTATGACACTGCCCAGAAGGTCTTGTTTCTTGACCCCTCGCCATTCCAATTAGGTTGCAGGCCATTGCAATTAGGTTCCTTTTGCCTCAAACAAATCTGCCAATGGGTTGGAGGCCATCGCAAGTAGGTTGGAGGCCATTGCTATTAGGTTCCTTTTGCTCAATACATTCTCCTTTTGCAACGTTGCTGCCTGCTTGCCGATGCCTGTGCAGAAGAAATAACACAAATAGCGGGTTCATTCCAAGGAGCACTTGGATTTGCTTAATAGGAACGGGTAAAACTGTAAAACATTTAACTTAATCCCCAGAAAAAGGAACAAACAGGCTCTTCCACCGCAGGAGCCCTGGGCCCGGGTCAGGGCCCTTGTTGTTGTGCAGGCCCAGAAAGTAGGCGAACCAACCATGTTTAGCCGGACCGACGGGTGACAGAGGGGCTGTGAAGAACCTCCACCAGGCCCAAAGCATGAACAGTTGCGACTTCGCCCATGGAACAACTGTGACGAAGGGCTGCACTTTGCTGCAAGGGACCTGTTGGACACTGTCGATGTGGTGAATCAAAAACCTTCCTTCTTCGAAAGACAAAACACCCACGGGGACATCATCTGGCGATGGCGACACCGCGGAACTCGGGGGGGAGCTCCGGACTCCGCACCGCGGCTGAGACAAGTACTATGACATGGAGGTTGAGAAGGGAGAATTGCAAGTGGTCATGTATTCTTGGAGAGGGTTACTTGCATCGGAGGGGCTGGGGGGAGGATGGGAAGGTGGCTTGCCTGTCGTTTTTTTGTTGGCACCGTAATACAAGAGAACAAGATAGACCCAAAGAGCATGGGGAAATGACGCTGCACCCCCCAACACTCCAATGGTTTTGTAGAGGTGGGGCAGAACTTTAAGTAACCAGGTGCATCTGGGAGGTTGTTTACCCAAGTATAGGGATTCTTCACCTGCCTGGATTGAGTTTTGAGGGTTTCCCCACTTGGGGAGTGGGTCTTGGATGTATTTGGCGGTCCTTTGAATTCAGCAAGACCTTGAATGTGCTGAAGGTCTTGAAGTAAACACAAGTATGTCCAAGTTAAAATCATCAAGATCTCACACTCCGACTCCAACTGTTTCGCCCAGTGGCCCTGTACGCCCGACCCGCCCACATGTTGGGACGTCCAACACGACCAGTGTGAGACGCGACCTGCGACATGGGAGACGTTCCAGGCGTTCCGACCTG